CAGCGGGGCCGGTGGGCTGCAGGGCCAATGGTCAGCGGGGCCGGTGGGCTGCAGGGCCAATGGTCAGCGGGGCTGGTGGGCTGCAGAGCTCTGCAGATGCTTCAATTCAGATGTGAGAAGCAAGAGTGGAGGTTACTGCTGGCCATTCATCCCCTGCCCCATTCCCTGTTTTCTGCTCACAGGCCCTTCCTGTTTTGCTGTGAACTCCAATTCCCATGGGTCCACATTAAAGCATAGGACAGGGGCCAAACAAGCAGCAAGAGGGACCAGAAGAGAGATGAACAGGGCACAAGGGAAGAAAACAGAGGAAACAGGGAAGGGTGAACATGATTGTGGGGGCGGGACAGAAGAGACAGGATGGGGAAGGATGAGAAAACTGAAGTAGAAAGGGGCTTGGTGAGAGATGAGAGGAAGCGCAGGGTGAGCCAAGGGAATGGGTAGAGACTGGGAACACGTGTGAGAAGACGGCAGGCTGTGGGGGTGTTGCAAAATCTGCCCATGTATTCATTTCTCACATTCAGAAAAAGCCCCTCTGGCAGCCCCATCTTCAGCTTCTGCCTCTGGCTTCAGCTCTCGTTCCTTCTCGTCGTAAGGTCATCCCCTCACAAGGCCTCCACCCTGGTCTGGACACTTATGAATCATAAGCACAAGGCTCTCCATTCTTCTCATGGGTTCCTTCCTCAATTCTTGCAAAGACCTGCCACCCTGGGAAAGTAGAAACCAAGGACAGCAGCCACAGAGACTGGGACAGCTCAGTCCCAGCACCAGCTCACTCAGAGATGTCCCTGATAGACCTCATTTCAAGGAACTTGAGACGTAACATTGGCCTGAAGCCCAGACAGTATCTTCTAGGGTTGTTTGTTTGTTTGTTTGTTTGTTTTTTAAGAGTTTCCCTCATCCTGATCCTACTCCTTCTCCTGACTCCCTAATCTCTTCACAGGGTGCTTCCTAGGCCCCAGGAACATGCATACACAAACCCAGGCTGAAGCCCACTGACCAGCTGCTGAACAAGCTGGTCCTCCCTCAAGCCAGTGAGGTAGGGCAGCCCAGTTTCCTATAGGAGAGGCAGCATTGTCAGTACCTCACCATCACAGGTTACAGGCGATGGAGGAGCTCACCACAAAGAGAAGGGAGAAGGAAAAAGTGAGGGGAGGCTAAAACAGGCTGCTGGTATCTCCGTGGACTTTCTGGTGAGCAACCACAGGGACTTCTGCCCCAAGCCAGGGCAAGCAATCAGGTGATCAGCAGCTAGAAGCACATGTCCCACTTTACCAGCCCCACCCTCATGGCGCAGTTCCACCAGCCTACAGGAAAGTGTTCAGGCCAAGTCAGCCCAGCCCTATAAGTCTTTCCAGTGTTTTCCTGACTCTTACAGGAAGCAAGATCTCTAGGAACATCTTTGGGGAATCTTACTAGCCGCAGCTCTGATTCTTCAACCCCAAACTTCCAGTGGCCACCTCTGGGCTTAGAATAGCACCCCTAGTCAAATGGACCACTAAATAACTCCCCCAAAGTCGATCTTTCCTATTAGGCAGGCCCTTCACAGAGAAGGGCTAGGCCAGATATTGCTTCTAAATTCTTCTTTTGGTGCTCTAGATGAGTAAAAACTGAATCATCTTTCAGAGCCCTGGGAACCCACTCAAGTTGACTTTTGCCCAGTCTCCTAATTGCAAGATAAAGAAGAATCTCTATTCAGACCAGAATCTGTATATTCAGAGGTGATCTAGAAGGCAGAGCACAAAGAAGAAAAGTAATATTTACTCTGGCTCTTCTGCATAATTTATTGTACATGTATTATCATTTCAAGTCTTATCACGTTGAATCTTAGAAGGTTACTAACAAGGTGTAAATATCAAAATTGATTACAGATAAAAACTGATTCAAAAACTCATGCTTTAGGTTTTTTGTTTTGTTTTTCGAAACAGGGTTTCTCTGTATAGCCCTGGCTGTCCTGGAGCTCACTCTGTAGACCAGGCTGGCCTTGAACTCAGAAATCCACCTGCCTCTGCCTCCCAAGTGCTGGGACTAAAGGCGTGCACCACCACTGCCTGGCAAACTCATGCTTTCAACTGGAGAATGCTTGGCAGTTAAGAGCCCTTGCTGCTCTTGCAGACTCAACTCCAGGTTCCTGTACCCATGCTGAGTGGCTCACAACCACCTGCAACTCCAGCTCCAGCTCCAGAGATCTGCTGGCCTCTAAGAGTACCTGCATTCATATGCATACACATATACACATGCATCATATACATCATATGCACATGCACATACACATACATACATATACACATTCATATGCATACAGACACATAAGTAAAACTAAGTTCCTGCTCAAATTTAAACTAAAAACAAACGAACCGACTTTATTCCATTATACAAACTACCTCCAAAAACTGAGGGGAAAAATGGTTAATGCACTTGGATTTAGGTTTGCTTCTGCCAACATAGGGTAAGCAGTTGCCTGACCTCACCTTTGGAAACTGATTTATTTGATCTGGAATAGGAACATGCATGCATCTATCTACCCACAGGCATAATGATTTTTTTTCAACTCTAAGGAACCAAGGTGGAAAGAACTTGAAATCACCTGTAGAAAATAATGTAGAAGCTGGAGAATTGCAAACTTGAAGCTTTGCTCTGGTGCAGTGCCCTCATTAACCCGGAATCATTTTTTACTATAAAGATTGAAATCACATCTGCTTCACCAGTCCTTCCTACACAGAGGCTGACAGACACAAAGGGTATAGACACACTTGAGCAAGTGGGAAGAAAAGCAAACCCTGAAGGAGTTCTCTTCTATTCGGTGAGCTAAAGATTTACACTTTGAAAACACAATGGCTTGGATGATTTTGCAGAGTAAAAGTTTATACTAAAAATCTCTTGTAGCCTAGGCTGGCCCTGAACTTGCTATATAACTGAAGCTGTCCTTGAACTCCTGATCTTTCTGCCTCAATCTTGCCATGTGTTGGGATAAATAAATTAAAGTCTTAAAGTTGACAGACAGTAGTGCCAAGTGCCTTTAATCCCAGCACTGGGGAAGCAGAGGTTGGCAGATCTCTGGGAGTTTGAGGACAGCCTGATCTACAGAGCTAGTTCTAGGACAGCCAGGGTTACACAAAGAATCCTTGTCTTGAAAAACAGAACAAAACAAAAAGTGAAGCGACTCCACAAGGGTATGTGGAGGGAGCATGCCTGTACTACCAGCTTGTAAGAAGAGCAGCTGGAGAGCTTGAGAGCCTACTAAGTGAGCCCTTGTCCTATTAAGTGAGACTTTTTCTGAAAACAAACAAAAATCGTCCACCGAAATGCACTTATCAGTTAATCATGTTCCATTAGATGCCACTTAGGTGAAAGGTTTCCTTTGATAAAATCTCCAGATACCTTGGGGCTACCATAGGTACTTTAACAATGCAGTTTGAACAGGCTACAAGAAACGGTCCATTACATTGCTGTCTGTCATTGGCAGCACATAAACTAAAAACTGGAGCGATACAGAGATTTTCGTAGTCCCTGCACAAAGATGACAAAGACATTTGTGAAACTTTCTTTCTTTCTCTTTTGTTTTTTTGTTTTTTTTTTTTGTTTGTTTGTTTGTTTTTCGAGACAGGGTTTCTCTGTATAGCCTGGGCTGTCCTGGAACTCACTCTGTAGACCAGGCTGGCCTCGAACTCAGAAATCTGCCTGCCTCTGCCTCCAAAGTGCTGGGATTAGAGGCATGCGCCACCACTGCCCGGCTTGAAGCAACATTTTTTAAGGGTGAGCCTGACCACTTGAGTCCAATCTTTGGAAAGAGGCATGGACCACTGAGAGCTGCCACACACAAACAAATAGAAATTTCAAAAATAAACAATGGATTATATACTAACCAAACATCAGAAAACTGCAATTTCAAACTAGGTGTGGCAATACATACTTTGAACATTTCGGAGGTGAGGCAGTAATAAATTCAAAGCTAGCCTGGGCTACACAGCAAAATTCTAATCCTGTCTGAAAGAAGAGAGGGAGGTGGAGAAGAAAACTGCTGAGTTGGGCAGTGCACACTTGTAATTCAGTGCTTAGCAGGTGGTAATAAGAGGATCAGAAGTGTGAGGCCAGCCTAGGCTATATAAGACCCTGTCTCAAAAGACAAACAACAACAAAAATAAGCAAATGAATTTCAATCCATTCTCTAAACTGTATAAGTTTAGGCAAACTACTTTTCTCTAGGTTGATTTCCTAACCTTATAAGCAGATGGAGGATCTTTGTGAATCACTTGAGATTATATGCAAAACTGTATTCTGTGTTCATGTGTGGACATTTTTTTTTCTGGATAGAGGGCTAATTTTTCATGTGATTTATAGGGAACCTGCGATTTTAAAAAGTTAAGAGCTAGTCAGGCAAGGTGGTACGCACCTTTAATCCCAGCACTCAGCCTGGTTTACAGAGTTCCAAGTTAAGAACTAGTCAGGCAGCTGGGCGGTGGTGGCGCACACCTTTAATCCCAGCACTTGGGAGGCAGAGGCAGGTGGATTTCTGAGTTCGAGAGTTAGAGGCTAGCCTGGTCTACAGAGTGAGTTCCAGGACAGCCCAGGCTACACAGAGAAACCCTGTCTCGAAAAACAAAACAAAACAGAACTAGTCAGGCAAGGTGGTACCCACCTTTAATCCCAGTACCAGCCTGGTTTACAGAGTTCCAAGATAGCCAGTGCTACACAGAGAAACCTTGTCTCGAAAAACAAAATAACAGGGGCTAGAAAGATGGCTCAGCAGGTAAGAGAACTGACTGCTCTTTCAAAGGTCCTGAGCTCAATTCCCAGCAACCATATGATGATTCACAACCATCTGCAATGTGATCTGACGCCCTCTTCTGGTGTGTCTGAAGACAGTTACAGTGTACTCACATACATAAAGTAAATAAATCTTTTTTTTTTAATTTTTATTTATTTATTATATGTAAGTACACTGTAGCTGTCTTCAGACATCCCACAAGAGGGCATCAGATATCATTGCAGATGGTTGTTAGCCACCATGTGGTTGCTGGGATTTGAACTCGTGACCTCTGGAAGTGCAGTCAGTGCTCTTAACCACTGAGCCATCTCACCAGCCCGTAAATAAATCTTTAAAAATAAATAAGGGAAGGGAGAAACATTATTTAAAAAAAATAAAAAAGAAAATAAAAAATTAAGAGAGAAACTGGGTGGTGGTGGCGCATGCCTTTGATCCCAGCACTTGGGAGGCAAAGGCAGGCAGATTTCTGAGTTCGAGGCCAGCCCGGTCTACAGAGTGAGTTCCAGGACAGCCAGGGCTACACAGAGAAACTCTGTCTCGAAAAAAAAACAAAAAACAAAAAATAAGAGAGAAAAGAAAAAAGAAAGTTAAGAACTGAGGCTGCGGGCTGGAGAGATGGCTCATCGGTTAAGAGCACTGACTGCTCTTCCAGAGGTCCTGAGTTCAAATCCCAGCAACCACATGGTGGCTCACAACCATCCGTAATGAGATTGGATGCCCTCTTCTGGTGTGTCCGAAGACAGCGACAGTGTACTCATAAATAAAATAAATAAATAAATCTTTAAAAAAAAAAAAAAAAAAAAAA